ACTAAGGCTGAAATTGATGAAAGAAACGCTGACAACGAATTGGAATCTGTGACGGATGAAATCGTTGACAAGAACGGGGGGAGAGAAATTGCAGTTAAATTTGTGATAAGTGATATTGTTGATCGACTTTCTGGAAACCAACCTCTTAAAGAGTCACTTCGATCCCCTGCCAATCTGGAATTTGTGGAGAATTCTTCGTTTTATCTTCGGTTAGAGAAAGATTTAAACGCACAAGAGTCTAAGGGTGTAGAAGGTACATTAGTTGATGGAAAAGGTAACCGCCAAAGTAGACGGAGGATTGATAACATTATGGTTGACCTGGCCAAATCCATTGAGAAAGAAAAGAAGATTTCTCTCAAGGTCTGTTTTGCTGTGTGTTTTGGCTAATTTGTTCCTTCTTGTTTCACTGCAAAATGGGAGTCCCAGCTTATTCTTGATATTCGCTTTGTAGATGCTTAAGGATGTTGGGGAGCTATTGAGCCTCACTCTCAGCCAGTCTCAAAACCGTCAACAGTTGTCGGGTTTGACGAAATTCCGCCGCATTGATGTGACACCAACGCTAGATCCTCTAGACGGTGAGGGAGTAAATTGATTGAATGTGATGTTGTTTTGCACCTCTCAATAAGAAATGGAAATGGGGTCTACAAATTGATGGCTCCTAATCTATTACAGTTTTTCTGTATGGCTTGTTCAGCTGTTATAAGTTACGTTTTTCGTGTGTAGTTACTGATGGATCGGTGCGAAAATACTTTAAATTTTGCAGTCCTTCCCAAAAAAATAACTTCTTCTTCTTTTTTTTTCCTCACATCATTATGAAACGAATCTTGAAAATTTATGTTGTTATGTATTCAGGACTATATATTGGCGCACATGGGCTGTATACATCGGAAGTAATTCATTTAAAACGCAAGTTTGGCCAGTGGAAAGGTGGAAAGGAGTCTAAGAAGCCAACAGATATTGAATTTTATGAATATGTTGAAGCTGTCAAACTAACTGGAGATCCTTATGTTCCTGCTGGGAAGGTTAGTTTTTTTGTTTGTTCTAATATGAGTCATTAACAAAAATATGAAAACCCACAATTTAGATGGTCAGTGGTAAGAACTTGCATACTTACAGTAGTTGAGGGTGAACCTAATAGAAGAATGAAAGGATATTGTGTTACCATTAAAAAAACCAAGCCGTTTAGTACTTAAGTTCATGATCTTTAAATATCTATTCTGACTACTGAGAAAAGGAAACATTATCATGTAGTATTCACTTGGATGTATTAATATACACTTGCTTACTTACGACATCCTTCTTTTTTGTTCTTCCCAAATACGTGTTGGTTGCAATATCATGATGTGTGGCTTATCACAGTCTTATCTCATGACAGGTAGCATTTCGCGCAAAGATTGGTAGACGTTATGAGCTTCCACATAAAGGACTTATCCCCGACGAATTTGGAGTGGTATGCTTTATATGACTATCCAAATTTACCATTAAGATTTTGTTTTATATTTTGAGCTCTAGTTTATGTATCTTTATGATGGAGATTTTCTTATAAAAAATACAGATTGCTAGATATAAAGGACAAGGAAGGCTTGCTGATCCTGGATTTCGTAATCCAAGATGGGTAGATGGCGAGCTTGTTATCCTGGATGGCAAGGTTCATCTCTCACGAAACTATAAAACCAACTTATCCATGATCCAAACTCAAATGTATAACATGTTTTGTGTGGTGGGTTTGTTGAAATATTGTTTTGATGCAGTATGTAAAAGGAGGACCTGTCGTCGGATTTGTTTACTGGGCACCTGAATATCACTTTGTGATGTTCTTCAACCGCCTGAGACTTCAAGCCTAGTTTTTGTCTTCTCTCTGTACAATCGACCAAGGGTTTTCTTCGGACAAAACCATTGTAAGTGTGTTCTCCTCCTAGAAACGCAGTAGATATGATGAAGTCAGTTCTCAGATAGGTAATTGAAACTTCACTATTTTGCAGCTTCATGAAATCGGTTATGTAGTTCCAAGTTCATGATCCACTCTTTATATTTCTGGTCCGGTAATGAGCTCGGTGGCTGGCTCTTTTTCTTACAGAGCTTTAATCGCAGAGAAGATTTAACACGCGAGAGTCTTTGATCATGGAGTGTGAACTAGTTGGATTTTGTGAGAAAGGAAAGTGGATTGTATAAGGTTGGAGTAAGTGTATAGATATGTGTAAATTAATCTTATGTTTTCTCAGAGATTGCTAGTTGGATAAAAACTTGGTAAGAGCTGTTATTATAAAATTCCCTTTGTACATTTTGCAGTCTATAATGCAGAAATGAAGAATCTTGCTTCTTTTGAATGTCTCTTGTTAATGCCAATAGAGAAACAGAAGAAACCCATTGATTGATCTTTGGGAGTTTTATCATTTCGTTACACACAGAACAAGAAACAATAAAACACACAAAAATCGAGAGCTTTAGGAAGTGGCAGCGGCGACACCGACAGCTTGTGGTGGTGGTCGGAGAGAGATCTCGACCTTGTCGTGGACACCTTGAAGCAACAATTCTCCAGGGAATGCGACTATTTTGCGTTTCTTGGCGGCTCTCAAAGTCCCAACCAATGCTTCAAAGATATTAGCACATCGATCATCATTGAACAAGACTCCAAATGTCACCTGAATCCAACAAACCAAATCATCAAGATCTTATCAATCATACATTCACATGGAGGTTAAATTTAACGACTTCAGATCTGATCGAGGTTGAAACTGAAATTCAGATCTCAGATTT